TCTAAGACATGATGATTCAGTCTTCCTTATCACTCAGTCCTGTCAGAGGGAAACTGACTCAACAGTATAAATAGAGAGGCACGTAGTGTGGAACAGAGAAGAGCAGGGATGAGAGATAGGAGGGAGGGCTCATCGTGATGTGAGGGTGTGAGTCCACACAATGGCAGAGAAAATTTGGTCAGGGATTATCAAACAAAATAACTGGCAAAGATGAAATTGTAAAATTCTCTTTTCCCCATGAAGAGCATCTATTCTTGGCAAGGTTATTACTCACAGCCATGTATCAATAAAGACCAGCAAATGCATTCAAGGGCAATGGGCTACACAGAATGGATGGTCTTGTGCTCTTTTTTTTTCAACTTCAGCTTTAACTAACTTATTAAGATACACTTGGAACAGAGAAGAGGAAGCCGGCAAATTTAGTGATTACTTCCCCTTTAAGTTGTTGTGTGGTCTGTGGAATGACTGCTTGCATGCTAGGTATTATACTGTACTTAATGTATGAACAGCACTTAAATATAATTCTACTTTTGGGTGTCAATGACTTTATGAAAACGTAAATGTTTACTTCAATAGGCATGTTTTCCACTGCCATCCCACTCCACACACACAGCCTATTTTTGATCCTGTTCGGCGTGCCCTTACCCAGTCCAATCGCCATCCACTCTTTCCTACCTTCTTTCTTTTCTCCGCAGTATTGGTATGGCAACATTGGCAAAGACACACTCCTACTCTTTTCCGATCTTAGTCATAGGCCTCACTCATGAGGCACCAGCTGAAGTCCTCCAACAGTTGATATGTTTGGTCACTTCCGTATAGTTTCCCTCTGTGCCTTTATCAATCTTGCGCACACAAACACTACTGTACAAATGCAAATGGCGCCTGAGTCCTGCTCCCGAGTGAGAATAAAGAGGAAACACGATTCGGTCTAGGGCAATTTGAGCCAGCTCAGAGGGTAAGTTACTTTTGCATGCATCTGTGTAATATTGGGTTCGCATACAATCCTGCAGTAACACATTTTTATGTTTCTCTGGGGTCTAAGTTATCTGTTGATTCAGAATGTTTTGACGGACTGAAGAGAGAATAGGACATGGAACTCAACACCCCGCACCAACCCTCACTAACCCCGTACTCTGAATATGGGACACATTGAGGGTCTACATGTGTTCCACTTCCTGTCAGCTTGTGTCACATTATGCGTTTTTCTATTACATAACCCCCTTTGAAATATAAAACACATACGTAATAAGGAAATGCTGGAAATTTTGCAATGTACGCGTGATAGTTGCACTCACACTCGCACAGCTATAAAGTGGGTAATCCCATGCACCAATACCATACACAGCATATTGAAGTCTTTGTTTTCGGTACACATGTGTACACATAAATGATGACACATGGTCCTTTATATTGTATATCACACACATGCTTATTTGGCATTTGTTTCTGTAGCTCATACATTAACTTTTAACTTTCCTTTCTTAAATTCATCTTCTTTTGCATGAAGTTCTTGCTCCTGTGATGGAGTGTGTACCTGTGTGGGAGAGCCCCGCACAGCTGCGCTTCTGAATTAAACAGCACTACTAAATACAGGAAGTGCTGACTGGGTCATACCACGTTTTGTTTGTCTCGTTTAATCCAAAAGTTGTTGTGGATTCGATTGCAGTTACGTTAAAGTAACATTGAAACTAAGCTTTGTTTGTTTGTTTGTAATTAGATGATCTGCTACTGTGTGTTATCTGTGTGTGTGGTTTGTAGGTGTGGCCAGCCAGTATTTAAGTTCCCCTTAGTCAGTCAGTTGATGAGTTGGTGAGCAGTTAGTCATGTTACTCTGATACCTTATGCTGGTGTCACGTTGTAACACCAGTATAAGGTTAGTTTGTCCTCTTTTAAAGGCCCAGAACTGTGATTTGACTCTCAGCATTTTTGGGTCAAATAAAACCAGTTTGTTTTAACTACTACGCTGTGCTCCTTGTGCCAACTCAACCCCTCGCAGTATGTAACAGTATTGAATTACACTTCATCTGTCCTTGAATTCAATTTCCTTCTCACAGCTATGATGAAGTTGTTTCAGTTAAAGCGTGAGCTACAAATAAACTCAGCTTCATGACCTTTTGTTTTAGCAATTCTTCAGGGACTGCATATAAGTTCTGATATTAAAATTTTATTGGTGGCTTTTAAAGTGCATTGACTTCAGTTGGAGGAGGGGGAGTTGGTTACAGGGCCAGATGTGCATGTAACTATTGTAAGATGAGTTTGTAAAAACTCCTCTTAAAGCAGCTGGAAACAGTGCAATCACTGTAACTTGCCTCTATATTATGCAAGACTTCTGCAAAAGGATACATTTTTACAGAACAATCTTTTAAAATTAGTTAGTAATCTTTTAAAATCACAGTTTATTATACTACATAGCACTTTGTTTTATCGAATCCTTGGATTTCATTTCATTGTGAGTTTATTCTATTTACTACATCAATTTATTTCATATAATGCTCATTTAGTTATGGATACAGCTGTAGAAAAACCTAAATCCAGTCAAATCATTAATGAGCGGGATGCTTAAATATTCAGATTCCGCCCAACTGACAGTTACTGCATACAGGACATCTCTGGATGTAAGTTTCATTGGAGACAAAAAGATGGAGAAACCTTCAAACTTCGGCAATTTGCCAATATTTTAAAAAAAAAAACATAATTTGAGGGGTCCAGTGGAGGGCATGCTCTCGACTAAATGGCCAACGGTTTATTTAAGGGGACAAATAGGTCAAACACTCTCTAATTATCCCTCAATGGAAGGCAAGGATTTTCTCCTTTTTTCCCTCCTTTTCTTTCCTGTGTGTGAGAGCACAGCATCGTTCCAACTCACCAACCAGCGGTCTCTGTTGACCTAGTTCTGCTCTGGACACAGGGTGCTGTAGAAGGGCCAGGCCTCACCCTCTATCTCCACTGTGGGCCGTAGACACACACACACAGCCTGGTACATAAACATAGTGAGAGAGAGATGCTATATGCACTCCCATCCATAACCTCTCTGACATTTTATCCATCAGGTTAATTGAGTGAACATCATTGATCTTGGATGTGTCCCCAGCTGACAAGGATACCATTGACAGAGTGACAGTAGTGTTTGCATGCTGGCAGTGCATTTTCAGTTTACATGAAATGAGTGGAGGGCATTTAAAGTGTTGACAGGTTCTTTGGTGTCTATTTATATTTTTTAAGAAAACCCCAGTTATTCTGAAGCCATCATACCAGCACTGTGACTAAACTGATGTCTAAATTTGAGTTGAGGCTAATATTGATCTCCTGGTTTGTTTACATGTGTAAACAGAGTGTTTAAGAGAGCTTTGAAATGTCCACTGGCTGCATAAGCAACTATCTAAAGACGTCTTCACAGTCTGAAAAGCTGCAGAAGCGCTGAGACGCTGATCTCGCTCCCAGACGCACACCACACAAACAAACACCCAAACACAGAAAAAGGCTCGTGTGTTTTTTCGTTTTGAGTCATATAGATTCCTCCCACACAATATGACCTTTCTGTTGCAGCTCATATTCTAAATATCTAAACTGAGTCAAACAAAAGGTGTGCTTTAACTGCCATGCTCTTGCGCAATTGAGCGCGCTCCTCTAATGCGCTTGGTCATGTTTTCCTGTTAAAAAATGCTTCAGATAAATAATAGATTGCAAAGTGAAAACGGGGACATTTTGAAAACAAGTGTTACAAAGTGCAAAACGAGGGAAAACTTGGACGCAGTGGGTTTAGCTTTGTTTGCTTTTCCACTTCTTTTTATAACCATTTTCCGGTTTTCAGTGAGTTAAGTAGCGTTTATGCTCCCTTTGTTTCTATTTTTAAAATCCAGAATATAAATCTTAAAAGCAGGTATGTTACACCTCTCTTTGCCAGGCACTGAGGAGGGAGTTGTGAGTCCTAACGGGTTTTGATCGGCTTGGAGTTGATCACAACGCATCAAACGCGCCTTTTACGCGCACCTTTCTAAGCTTTATTTTCAGTGGGTCGATCGAGTGTTAAAGAGGAAAGAAAAAAGAAAGAGAAAGATCACAAACCCACACAAACTGTCTCGAGCAACACGTGCGTTTGTTCAGAAGAACCTGTGTAGTTGTTCGTTGATTCAAAAGTAAAAAGTGTGTAAATAAATAAATCTCTCCACAAATATCACAAATATTTTGGCGCTCTCTTTGCAGCCTTTTACTTCATCGATGACCTTTAAGAGGAACCGCAGCCTGTCAGATAATTGTGCATGATTACGGTTTCTTCTTTGCATTCTGACTCTGCATCAGCCCACACATCGGGCAAATATTCAAATACTGCTGTATAACTGTGAGCGTGACACTCCCAAACACACACGGACGCAGAGAAAGCGTTTTAACAATTCTTCACTATCAGCTAATCACTTCAATTTACGCACAGAAAGCCGGAATCTAAAGTTCTACACTGTCAGTCTGTGTAAATTATAATGGAAGCAAGTATCAATTGTTTCATTTTTTGTGTACTGAGCACTCATCATTCTGTTTTTTTGTCTGCAAGGCAGTTCGCCTTTTAAAAGAATATACTGGCACCGTCAAGATCAGTAAATAGAGTCTGTATAGCATCTTTATGAGATTCTCCTGACTTCTTATTCATCTGAATATTTGCAATTTATCGAAACGTGGTAATGTAATTGATGAATGTTCAATTTAATTTTCCTTTTGCTAGAAGAAAAACGAGTCATCGCCTGTTTTAAGTATTCACAACCATACGAAACTTTCATTTGGTTAAACTCACTACATAAATGTTCATAGTTATCCCAGCACATTAAATACTGTACAAGAGCTGCGCAAATGCTCATTAAGTCCAAAGGCAGAAAGAGAGAAACAACATGTTGTGGGTGTAAAGCAAGCAAATAAACCTTAATCTACACATTTTTTTCCTTTTGCTGTAGGTTTTTAATATTGTTTTCTAATAACACTATGAACTTACAGCCCATTTCTTAGGCAGTACAAGATGCCTTGCGGGACGTGCGAGACGTCCACCTGTCAGACAGACAATAGGGATGACGCATTAAACAAGCAAAATCAAACGTTCTTCTTGCATTGCATTGTTTTAAACGTGTTAAGCTCACCTTTTCATTCTGGATGCTTGGCCCAGTGTTAATTGAATTGAATTAGTTCCTCTGCTATGCAACGTGGACAACTTTTCGAATGCATCTTATTTACTCTTGCTTCTGCTGCTCTAACAAAGTGGATGTTGGCTTTCCAACACATCTCTTTCCACGCAATGAAAGTAACATCTTATCCCACAAATAGGATTTCTTTCAAACTTCAGTTCTCGTATCATCATCATGAGCATTTTACCCACGTCAAATCTTTCCAGTCGTGTTGTTTGTCTTTTGGACTAGTGCTTCTGATCCAAGTTAACCCACTCATGCAGTCTTCACAGTCTGTGAGGTCATGCGTTTATTGTTGTGTTGCTTTGGCAAATCATCTGTCACGGGCCTGCATTTTGATGCTATACTTGTTTACCAGCGAAAATTCAGTTTCAAGGGAGTTTTGTGAAACCATAAGAGCAGGCCTCACACTACAGGCCTGTTTTGCACTAGGAATATCTTTACCTGTTTAATAATGTTGTTTTGTTGTGAGAACTTTGTCGCACTCATCAGAGATGCGTTTTGTGATTCAGGGTTGTTGTTCTTTTTTTAAGAAAAAGAGAGAAGAAGAAGAAAAGAAAAAGAAAAAAAGAAATCATCCGCAACCTTTGAAATTTACTTCCTCTTCGCCGAACTCTGCAGCGTTTTACTTATATCGTGTTATCCACTTTATCAGAGCCTCTCACGTTGTCAGGTTAACGTATTTTCAAGGACATTGAGGATTTGAAGGCAGCGGTTGATTTGGGGTTTGACGCAAAAATGAACCAAGCGGACTGTCTCAAGCATATGCTGGTATGGTCGTCAAGCTGGAGGAAGAGAAGGGCGTCTTGATGGTGACTTCACTGACACCAACAACTTCCTGACGCAACGCTACTGTAACAGCAGCGGGGAAAACAGCTCACCTTTTCATCCGATGAACCAACATGATCCTATTTCTGCATAGTAAGCCGTCTCAGCTGCTTTTCTCCTCTCCGTTCCAGGAACAGCGGCGGGCTCGTTGCACCAAAGAATAGTCTGCTTATGCTTATATTTTTCACATCATAGAAAGTGCCATCCGTTACGCCGTACTTGTTGCACAGCTTTGCGATCCCCTTTGTTGTTGGACAACGGGAAATCGGATTACCTGGGTTTCAAGTGTGCCCCAAAATTATTCTTCAATCTTTTCTGTTGGCGCGGAGAAAGTGAACTTTTCTACAAATCTATGACAGAAAATAACACATCGAGGGAGAGCAAATGGTGGATGGGATTATTGCTCAAATGCAGTCCAGCTTTTACGCTGAAGGAAAGCTGAATTCGTTTGACAGCACAGGGTTGTTGTTTTTTTCTTTCTTTCTTTGAGTGGTAGAAAACTGGAGGACTCCTACTCCTTGCTGTGGGGGTAACGCGTTACTGAGCAACGCGTTACCGCCCTGCACTGTCCGGAAACTAGTTTGAAGTTGAAAAGGCGTGTAGGCTGCACGCGTTCTGCTTTTGAAGACCGTGGCTCGGCGAAGTAACAAAGAGAAAGCCCGTCTCTGCTGTGCGGCTCTGTGCAGGAACTCAATTTACCGAGACGCGCTGTATGCAAATGCACCCGTTCCTCTACACGCGCACGGGCGCACCGACCTGTAGTAGCCTGATCTTGGACAGCCTATCGGACCCGGGCACCGTGTGCCTTGTAGCCTTGTCTGCTTCACTTTGAAGAGATGCTGGTCGTCCCGGACACGTGAGCTGAGCTGTTGAGAAGACTTTGTGGCGGATTTGGATGAGGGTTTTTTTTTTTCTCTGTGCGTTAATGGCCAGGCGTGCGAACTAGGCTATGGTGCGCTCAGATGTGTGCGTATGTATGTGTGTGTGTGTGTGTGTGTGTTTTTTTTTCTTTCTCTCCCTCGGTCGCTCTGTGTATCCACCGCTCCGCCTCCTCCCCCCTTTTCGCAACATTGACGCAACCAAAAATACTGGAACAAAAGAAACAACTTCCTTGAAGCTTTGCTGAAACTGCACTTAGTCGGTGAATAGAAGGTTGTTGTCAACTTGCCTGGATGAAAATGTCGATGTGAGGGTGTCACCAGTGGCCGGCTGGCAACGAGAGAGATGCAGTCGATTCCTCTGAAACGCGCCCAGGCTTATCCAGTAAGTGCTATTAAACATTCAGTAGAGTAATTTCAACTTTTGCTGTGTGACCTCTCGACTAGTTGAGTTTGCTGTACGCTGTCAGTCAACGCAAAAATAAAGAGTCGTTTTGGTCGATTCTCCGCGACGCCGGACACAAAGTAAAGTCTCTCTGAGGTAATGTTGGCGACCTGACGAGGTAGAGTATAAGTTATATATTGTGGCAGACGAATGTGCACGAATGACAAGTTTATAGCCTTCTCCTTTTCAACAATCCGGCTCTTAGGAGCCAGTGACAACAAGGCTTTAACTACACTGCTGTCAATAAATAAATAAATAAATAAATAAATAAATAAAAAAGATCCGTCAAATGTGAACGAGACATCAGTTTGTTTGAGGCAAATGTGACGGGGGCACTATTAGAAATAGGTTGTGCACTAGCAAGTCTTGAACACGGGCTACCAGTTTATTATTGTTATTCATGCAGCAGCCTTGAGCTGTCGCCGGTTGCACGAAGATCCCGGTGATCTTCAAACATGTCCACAACGGAGCAGCAATGCGAGTGTTTTTATTGATTCGATTTGCTGTCACCGTTTCAGATGATGTGTCTAACTTTGCTTTTAAAGCTTCGGTCCGCAGTTTGGGGCGGACGATCACTCCGCTTTGTCGCGTCGCTGTTTTTTACTGCATGAACAAAGGACTGGATGGAGTAGTCGGCTCGGCACAGAGCGTCGGTGGAGAGCAGGCGGGCTGTTTACAATAATAACACGATAGCGGTGACGTCACGCAGACTGACAGCAGCCTCAGCCAGTGCGGAGTTCGCGTAGCCATCAGCAACACGCTATATTTGGAAAGCGGTTACATCATCGGGATACAACAGTGGCCCGTGGGGGGAGGGACTTCCGCAGGAATTCTCGATTTGTAGTCCAGAAGCAAGACAATGAATAGGCCTACATCAGTTGTGTCTTTGCAGGGTGAAATCAAATTATTTCAGACCTTCTTTGGATTTCCATAATCTGCTCACACTCTCATATTTCTAAGATGGTGTGAGAAGTGCCTTAGACACTCTTTATGACTGTGGTACTACAATACCAGTAGGTTCAGGTAACATATAATTGAATCATAACATCTCAATGGAAAATGTAAGGAGACTATCTCCGATCGGCATTCTTCCAGTGTATCTGCTAAAATTGGGGGTTTGGGGAAGGCTTGCGAGGCCGATGTTGACTTTGCATTGGTGAATAATATTTTCCAGCCTACTTAGTAATGTTTACTCCCCCAACATAGTAAGTAACGGTTCCCTAGTAGTAGTAGTAGTAGTAGTATTGCTATGATACCTGCACCTTTTTTTAAGTCAACTTGAATATAAGGATTGCTCCTCTCACACAGCAGCAAAGTGACCACCAGACGTCAATAAGCAGATTAACTGCTGCCTGTCCTCAGTCTCCTCATCCTTAGCTAAAGTGCCTGAGGTGAAATGAAAGAAATTTGTTCAAATTTTGTCAGATTTTATATACAGATCAGCATCGGTAAGCCTACTACATGCTACACAGTACTCAGAAAGCTGTGGACTCCAAATCGGCTGCATAGAGCAACTTTGTTGCAATAACACACAATCTGCTTTGTGGCAAGCAGCATCACTGGTTTCCACTTGCTATACTGTTGTACACAGTGGTAACCTTTGAGTATTTAATGTATTCAAATGTAATGTTAGATGAGTATTTTCTTTATTTCAGGCCTCATTAGTATCAGTGATACGTTCTCTGATATCATTCAGTCAACCTGAAACCAACATTTAATTGAGTTAAGCGTGTCATACTCAAATCTAGACACTTTGTTTTTATAATAGCACAAAGTCATTTATTAGTAACTTGAATTAGATGTGATTGTATGTCCCTTTAATGTAAACAATGGCATCATGTTTAATGAATATTGCCCTTTCATCAGCTTACAGCAGGTAAGAAAAGAAAACAAAAAAAAAAATTAAAATCTGCACTAATCTAACTAAACTGACTTATTTTCAGAGCTAGAAAGCATTATGCTACCTAAGGACTGCCGTGACTTCAGTGTGTTTCCCATAAACCTACAGGCCAGTGTTTTGGCATCAAAGTATAGTACAGTATGTGAGTAGTGTAAATTCTAATTTTCTCGGGTATGGAAAGCAAGAACAGTATTTGGTAATGTTCCAAGCACATTGGGTACTTCAAGATTAAGTAATAAATAAATAAAGCGCATTAAAAAACAGAATGTTCCACCACTGTGTGTATATCATTTTCAATATATTACTGTCATTCCAGTATTTACTTGTTTCACAAATATACATCATGTAAAATAACAGCTTTTTTCAAATGTGGTCTTGCATGCATCAAAAGTTAAAATTTTTCATATAAATAGGTTTAATTGAAATGTTTCTGGACGCAGGTAAAAAAGTGAGACAGACATAAAAGCAACATAATCTCAACGCCGTGACTTATACAGTGTGAGCGTAGGAATATTGCTCAGTGCCAGTAAATACAGTTTATGAAATCTGTCAGAGGCAGTAGTGGTTTTTAGATACATGCCATTACCTAAACACAGTTAAATGTCATAGATAGCATCTAGCAGAGAGCTCGCAATAGACTGTCAATAAAAGAAGGACTGGCCAGAGGGATGTTTTTATTATGTGAGTCTCCTTTAGTCTTTTGAATGCCACTAGAGTTCATAAATGATATTAGACACTCTATAGTCATTTTAAAACCGTCTGCTTGGCTTTGTGAAGCTTTCGCAGAGACTTTTTGGTGTATTTCTTGTTCTAGTGACTCTAACTGTTACAGGATTTTAATTTTAATGTGCTAATTTGATTAAGGGGCATGCAAATATGCATATAAAAATGATTTGTTTACATTGTTTTTGTATAGTTTGGGTCTTAGAAGACTTGTGTTGATCCTGCTGTTCAAACAGTACTTGGCTTTATCTTTTTTGTCATCCTCAAATTTAAAGAACATAAGCCCAAATATATCGGCAGTCATCAGCTTGAGGCAATGACCCCAAAAAAAAAAAAAAGAAAACACACCTAGACAAAGTGCTCGTAACACCCAAGGTAACTCTACTGCCCTAAGATTAACTCTTGCTTCTGTTTAGACTTCTCTGTTATCCCTCTCACAAATCTGCCTTGAAAATAAATAAATAAATAAAAATAGGTGGTGTGGGGTGTGGACAGTTTAGTTGAGATTTTTTAAAAAACAAACTACAAGTTCAGGAAGCAGCATGAATAATGTTTTGTTGTCAGATTTATATTTAAACCTACCTTGAATGGAAAACGGCTCTCATTATGTTACACACCAACGAGGCCACTTTGACTCAGGATGCAATAACACATGTCAATGCGGTTATGCTCTATTTTTTTTATTTTTCATCCATCAGGCATGGGATCATTTGGGCTTTTGGCACATGACTTCACATTTAGTCTGGAAAACACAGTATCATCATCAACTGGTATCAACAGAAAAAGTGTCCAAGAACACAATTTTAGGATGAAAATTAGGCGACTTGTGCTGGCTTTGTGACTGATGCTCATTGTTTGCAGACTGCATGGAAGTCTTTGCTTATCCTTTGGCTAATATAGAGAATTTCTCTGCTTTAGCCTAGCCTTCCGTGAAATCCCTTTTTCTACTCTATCTGCATTACCACCAGGACAAGTATAGTTTGTCCCCATAATTGTCCTCTGTTAGTGATATCGCTTTAGCCTGTCCAATGAATTGTGCCCACTTAATTTGATTGCTGTGAGAATGTGTGTAAGCTTATGGAGTGAACAAGTGAAAAGGGCTTCTTGTGCTGTAACATCTGAACTTGCTGGCCAAGCATGTGATAGTGTTTAGAAGAATTCTGGCTGTTAGAGTTCATCTTTTTCTCTTTTTTTAAAGTGAGTTTTGCGTTCACCTGAGCAAGTTATCTGTCAAGTAACTTTATTGAGCGAAAGTTTGTCATAAAGCAAAATAAGAAACATTATTTACATGCAAACGAGTCGCATGCATGTGTGGAGTGCACGTGTGTGTGTGTGTGCCAAATTTTAAAGCACCCAAGGGCTAATGTGACCACCTTTCAGCCTTTGTGCTAAAAAAAAAAGGTCAGAGGTCTCTGTTGTGTTTTCAGGATGACCTGCTAGTGACTATTAGCCATTGACAAATGTGATGTCCCACAAGTGTGCGGGCCGGACCCCTCCAAAGGGGGAGGTGTCGTAACACGCCCCACGCTAACCTCCGAGCCAACCCCACCTCAACTAGTGCATACACACACGCTCTGCCCTGCTGACAGGAGCACAAGGGGGCAGCTGCTACAGATGTCTAGAGGGGGAGGGGAACCAAGGAGACATCAATGGAGAGTCTCTAGTATGGAGTTTTCTGTGGGGCTCATTGTGTTCTCTAAAGACCAAGACGAGGGCCATGTTAATATAGTATGCCTATGGTATCTTCAGCTTCGTTTCAGGCTGCGTTGGTCATAGGGCTGCCTCGTGCATATGCTGCTTTCAAAAGGAACTCTACTTTGATCCATGCTGCCAAATGTTCCTAAATGTTACACAGCTTGATATTTACCAAGAAGAGTGGCAGAATAAGCGGTTTCTCTCCTTAAAAGTACTGTTTAGTCTCGAGTCTAGGATGAGGTGATATTTCTTTGATTTTACAGTGTGAATGGATCAGACTGTAATTAAAAATTACGATTATCCAAATTACACTGATACAGTGGGAGAAGGGGAAAAAAAGAAGAATTAATTTCACAACCTGCTCTGTTGTGTTGGTTGATTTAATCCAGCAGGCAACAATGTGCCACAGAGAGCTGACAATGTGCGTACACTCTCCGATCTGCAAACACCTAATGCTCCTGAGCGACGTTAAATCGCCTGCAGTTGCCTTAAGTTGACAGAAATGCTGCAAACTTTGTGTTTTCTGTGCTACACAGGTGTTTATTCCTGATTTAATACCACCCTTGACCCTCACTCACCCCTTTTGGGTGCTATTAATGTGCTTTTTTTGTCTTTTGGGTTT